TGTACAATTTTGCCCATGTATGAGCTCAAACAACGACCTCACTGAGTGGAAGCCACCGTTGGAATCATGGGAGGACAAAATCCAATCCATCGATACCATAGAAAAGGTAGCCGATGGGAGACTGGTGTCGTATGTTACTTGGGTTAACGGAAAAAAGACGAAGCAGGATATTTACGTGTTATTTAATAACTGCCCACAAAAGGTAAGACCATTCTGTGGAAGCGAGGGGAACGCCGGCTGACCGCGAGAACAGACATTCCAGTACCTCGTGGGGCACATAGTAGTTAGGCCGGAAACCAATACTCAAGACGAAGCGGCGGCCTTATTCTAGAACCATCTGTGGAGGCGTACTGGGAATGTATAAGGCGCTGTTATCAAGTTATGGCGTATGTATAACTATTTCCTTTTCCTTTCCTTCTTCATCTTGATAGTAAGCAGCTTAGAGAATAGTTAGTTGAATCAACTCGCTAGAGGCCATTCACAGGGTTGACCAATACGTCCACTTTGGCAATGTCGCTACATCTCGCGTTGAAGGCATTCACGGTATTATAAAAGATTGTATTGGGACTTCGCAACTGGACCTTTTTGAGGTATGGCGTCAAATCAAGAACGCTATACTAAACCAGCTACTAGAGCTTACGCATTGTTAGTAACACCAAAAGACTCAGATATCTATTGAGATTTCCGGAAACCTCTATAGCATCGTGCGAGTTTGGGTTTCATTAGAGGTGTTGACTTGGTGTGAGTCATGTACCAAGACATGATGAGTCACTGCCTAGTGGCACTGGCCGTGCCACTAGGTCTTATATGTATGAGAGCTGTCAGCCATAATGTAATAGAAGTAAGTTCAATCACAACAAGGGGCTATACATACGAAAGGTTGAAGAACAGCGAAAATTAATAGATGCTGAAAACCCACCCCTCTCACGACCTTGTACAAGGAGATTTACAGCATCAAATGGGCTATCTTGTGTCCACCTGCCGGATAAAACTGCCTCTGTTCATTGAAACACGCAAGCGTTCTGTCAACAGAGTAGCAAATGGCAACAGTAGTTATATACGCCGGCCTTCAGGCAGCAGTATTCCGAAGGTATTAAATATCTTGAGTTTCTAGGGTTTAGGAGGGGGAACAATAACAAGAATAATGTTTTTGTGAAGAAGCTTAGTTAACAATGAGTCTCATAACATGACATAACATGAAATCATCGAGTTAACGCAGCCATTGATGCTAAGCTTCCTCTGGCCTCAGATGAGTTTCATACCCATTGGCAATATAAGAGAGAGGGTCAACCTATTCACCTTATCGAACCTCAACGGCTTGAGAGATATCGAAAGGAGGGCTCCCGGGTACCTATATCAAGCACACAGCGGGAGAAATGGGCTTTCGAAGCCATGGAACAACGCTGGAAAATGCCGTCAAAGAGTACAGCATGTGGTGTTATTGGACATACTAGGGTCTCAAAACTATGCCATCAACGATATGAATACCTTGAAGCTGAATCCTTAAATGTTGAGCCCGAAAGGGATTTCTCACCCACCGATGAGACATTGTTAGAATTGCAGCTACTACAAGCAACTGTAAGGGAACGGCCCCGCCTTAGGGCTTAGATACCTCGACTCAGAGCTTCTGCCGGGAGCTCTTACTCTTCTTGTGAACAATCGCTTTATCCAAGTCGCACTCGACCTTGCTCGTGCCCTTGTATCGTCACAAAGTACCGTCACAGCAACAACACGGCCCTCACGTCTCTTCTGCATGGATGCCAGGATCAACGCTCGCCTCTACAAGAAGTCTGGGTTCCACAAACAAGGCCACTCTGGCAGGCGGGAGCGAGATTCAACATGAAGCCGGCCGTCCAAGACTGGCAGTAATCTTGTTGGCTGTTGGCTCAATTGACAAATTAACAATTGAATAAGGATAGAGCGAAGTTATGGGAAATCATATCGGCAAAACCGTCCCAAAATCCTCACCCCTGGTGGAGAACCCTAATACTTCTGGGCTACATCTCGTCGTGAGACAACCATGACCAGCCTCCATTTAAAAGTGGAGGAGCAGCGCCTTATATGATGCCGCAATAACATCTCTTGGCATTCCTTCCTTGTTCATTGGCTGCTTTTAGAGTTTCGAGTCATTCACCTCGTACAAGTCGAAGTGCAAAGAAATATATTAACCAACACACTTTTACTTCTACGCTCACAGCGACAACTATGCCTGCTCAGTGTTGGTTAACGCACACATCTTGCAGCATTTGATGGGCACAAGGTATCGCATTTTCGCCATCATATCTGATGGTGTTTCACGAACGATGCAAGACGCCCTGGCTGCGAAAAATATAAGCCTGATCAAGGAAACGCCTCTGCCACTTCACGCAAACAGCATCCCATACTACGAGGGATGTCTCTTAAAACTAGCGGCCTTTAGATTGCACGTATACGATTCTTCGATTCAGAGACTCCTGGTACTTGACGCCGACCAACTAATACTTCGAAACCTGGACATGATTTTCGACACTCAAATGACGGATTTTATGGCTCCAACCGCTTATTGGATAAGCAATGATACCATTACTAGCACTTGTATGTTGATCCAGCCGGGCAAACCGATGTGGGATAGGGTCAAGGCTGCCGCGAAAAGTATAAAGTCTGACAAGTACGACATGGACCTTATCAACGACCTATTTGCCGAGCGGGGAGATCGATTGAGCGAGAGATATGTGACCCTCAATAGTCACTGGGAAGATTGGAACATTCCCCTGTGGATGGGTTCTAGGTCGTCTAATGGCACTGCGACAGACCAACAACTACGGGCTTTGTATGACCAAGCGGCTATCATTCACTTCACTGCTGCTGGCAAGCCATGGATGCACGACACTCAGGCGCTGCGGGAGCACTGGCATACATGGGCAAAATTGTACA